TACCGATACTTGGAAAATTTATTAGCACCGATTGAAGAAATTAGTTATTTTACATTCTCCAATAATAACGATGTAGTATCACCGAATGAGGTGTTTCCAAATTCCATTTTTGTCTTCGATGACATGGCATGCGACAAACAAGACGTGATCAGAGAGTTCTTTGCGATGAGTCGATATACGGATGTCGACTTCTGTCTGTGTCAGACGTACATAAAGATACCGAAGCATTTTAAACGCGATAAAGCAAATCTGTTGATTCTATTCATACATTATTCATTGGGATCCTAACGATCCTAACGAGCTGGTGGATCGTCTCCGATTACTTGAGGTCTCGCGTAGAGGTCTCTTAGGCAGGTCACGACGCCCACGATAACGAAATATTGTTTATTATCGAGGAATTTCATGAAGCTGGCTTTATTATAAATTGAAGCGGAATACACAGTCATTTTAATTGCCATCGAAATGCTGATGAACAATGTTTGCGTAAGAATTTTATGATATTTTACAGTATTATACAGCAATAATCATAACATAACATGTCTCAGACAGAAAAGCCTCGAATGGTGGAAAAACTGCACACTCCAGTGAGAAAAAATTTTTCACGCAGTTGTATCATAATTTACGGATATGATGATCTGTGGTTGATGTGGTCGAGCGTCCTTACACACGATTCAACAAAGATTACTACTACATTCTCACCGTTATCGATGTATTGAGTAGGCACGCATAGGCCGTACCGCTCAAAACTAAGAGTGGAGATGACTACAGCGATTGCAAAAATAATTTGAGACGACGGAAAAATTTGCAAACGAATATGGATATAAACGGAAAAAAATTTTACAACGTAAATGTATAAATACTCTTGAAAAAATACAATATAAATCATTATTCAACGTATTCATAATAAAAGCATCAATCATTGAATGGTTAAATCATACGTTGAAAAACGATATGTGGGAACAATTTACGCACAATGGAAATTACAAATGGATCGATGCTTGCTACCGCGTGTCTAGTGTCAGAATACAACGCGCAAAAGCATCGAACTATCGGTATACGGCCCATCGATCTAACTTCCACGATCGCTGACAAATTCTTAAACACGTATAGCGTAAAGGCCGTCGCATTTCCGTGATTCAAAGTGGGTGACTCGATACGTGTGAACAAATTCAAAACGATCTTTGAGAAAGATTACACACCAAATTGGATCATGGAGGTATTTAGAATCATCAAAGTATAGTATTAAATTAATCCCGTATATATACTGACGTATATATACTGGAAGATTACCGTGAGAAACCTGTTGCTGGAGGATTTTACGAGTACGAATTGCATTGCGTTGCTAATCCTAACATATATCTAATTGAAAAGATGTTGCGTACAAAAAGAGACAAGGTTTACGTGAAATGGTTAGGATTTGATAATTCATACAACTCTTGAATACATAAGGATAGTGTGTTATAAAAATAAAATCGTCCGATCAAGTGGCAATGACCGCATACCCGTGTATCGTCAGGCGCGAACGATTTTTCGCACACGTGATAGTGCATGGCACTATTAAACTTTTGCCAATCATCTCGCGTGAAATTTGCCATGGAAACATTAGCAGATAGGATAGTGTTTACATTAAACACTTTGCGCTAAACTTCTGAATTCCTCGGTAAACCACGCGACGAAAACGATATATCGAAAACGATACAGCGAGTTGTCGTACGAACAATGTGCGTAATACCCGATGCTAAACACGTGATGTTGGTATCTATATGTTGTATTCGAGTCTCTCTCTCTCCATCTTTTCCAAATCGGTGTAGATCACGAATATGCTCTTTCCTGCAGTAATTGCTGAAACTCAATCACTTGTCATCCTCGCTCGGCCTCCTGATGGCGCACATTTAATTTTCCAGTTTATTATGTGGATATCCAGCTTTGCGCTAGATCCAAAAATAGTGCAGGCATCTGAAAAAAAAGTATAATTCTTTTTGTCACAAAGAGGTTACAAAAAAAACATTTATAATTTTAAATTAAATATATATGTGTATAT